GTTATATAGATTCATGGAGGATGAGTCTATCAGTGGCTACGAGCCAGGGTGGCTGAAGGGACCCTCCACATTCAGAGGCACTAAATCTCTGAATCCCAAAGCCAGGAGGCAACATCAGGGGAAGGCCTCGGTCACTATGCCCTGTTGTTGGCCCTCCAGAGGAACCAGTTGGCCACTGTGTGAGACAGGATGCTGGACTGGATGGACCACTGGTCTGATCCAGCAGGGCTCTTCTGATGTTCTTATCAGGGGAAGGCCTCGGCCTCTCTGCCCTGTTGTTGGCCCTCCAGAGGAACCAGTTGGCCACTGTGTGAGATAGGATGCTGGACTAGATGGACCACTGGTCTGACCCGGCTGGGCTCTTCTGATGTTCTTGTAATAATTTGTCAAGGGTAGGCATCCATTCGCAGAGAATCTGTGGCTGTTCTTTAGCTGCATAAGAAATATCATTTCCCATTTTGACCCCAGCAGAAGCGCCTTGGTTTCCCATAGAAGGTAAGGCTGCTGTATTACCAGGGGTGAGCAACAGCTCAACCACATGACCAGCCTCGACTGCTAATCCGGGTTGATGACAGGGAGGGGCAGTTCTGGGAGCCAGCCATGTGGTTAAAATCGTACAGTGTGTGTTTCTCCCCCACCCTCCCTCTTTTCTCCTTTTCTTTCCAGACATGCAGAATTACTTTGTGCAGCCATAGATGTGTCTCTCAGCTGCACTGCCTCTGCCTTCCCTCTTTCCAGATGCTGACAGGCTCTGAATCGGCAGACAGAGAGAAACAGCTCCTCTCCTATCTGCGTGGTAACTGGACGGGGGATGAATAGCAGCCGAGGAGAAAGAGCAAAGTTGGTTATTTTTCTGGCACATGGATGCAATTACGCGGAGCACATTCCAGAGGCGTTACTTTGAATTTTGAGCAGGTCTGCTTGCCATTCCCGAGTGGAAAGAAATTTTTAAAAAGGGAAGAAAAGTCTCTCTCGCTCTCTCTCGAAGACGGAATGTCTGCACTTTCTATCTTGATTCTAGGTAAGCCATAAGGTTTTTATACATTAATTGACTAAGAAAACTGAACTTACTAACTTATCAGTAACCAGCAAAGGAGGAGCCCGGGGGGGGGGGGTTACTTTTTTAAAAATAAGGGTATCAAAGTCTATTGTGCGTGGAGAGCGTCCTCTTTGTTTTATTTTTTGTTATTTTCACAGTTAACACAAGCAAACCAAAGTTGAAACCCTCTTCTCCCCCCCCCCTTATTAGAAATAACACTACTTAAAGTGTGAGGTTCCATTCTTCTGAAGGTACAGAGAATGTTTCTACAATAAGCTACTAAAGATTTTGGCACTAATTTGGAAGAAATGGTGCATTTTGCTTACAGGGTCTTTCACCGGCAGACGCAGAAGATTATTTTATAATACAAAAACCTTAGACAAGTTTGTCTTTTTCGGACAAATGCGAACAACAGCTCATTGTTACAGGATAGCGGGCCAGTTGACTTAACGTTTGTTGTGTTTATGTGTGGCGGAGTAGAGTTTTGTGCTGGAATTTACTTCTGATATTTTAAAAGAGCCCATTGTTTCCAATTGACACCGTAGACAGCCCAAATTAGAAACAGATGTGTTAAAGTACAAGGAGGAGGGAGGTGCGGGAGAGGGTGAGAGGGGGTGGTGGAAGGGGGTCAGAGAGAGAGAAAAAGGAGAAAGAAAAAGAACAAAAAAGGAGAGAAAATGGAAAAGAGGCATAGCTGGGGGTGTGGGTAGAAGACAAAGGTCTGGATGATCAAAGAGGAGAGGAGAAGGGAAGACAATGAAAGAGCAGAGAGGCACAATAAAAGGAACTAATGGCTATTTTACACACTACAGGAAGGCAAACAAGGTTTGCAGTGGAATTAAAAAATGGGAGCAATAGTTAATCCCAGGTTCCCGAGAAGTGTAGCTATACTTTGTTGTTGTCTCACTTACACTTTCCATTTGAGACACACACTTAACGCATCGGCAGGCGTAATCTTCGTGGGGGCGGCGGGGCTTCAGCCCCCGCCGAAATTTTCAGGAAGGTGCTCAGCCTCCCCCGGGAGCCACCCTTGCTCCTAGCAAAGCAATGCCTCTGGCCCAGCCCCCCCCACCCCGGAAATTGGAAAGTCTACACCCTTGCCAATCCAGCCAAAGTTCAGCATTTTAAAGCCCCACTAGTTTCAACAGAATATTTATCTATTTATTGCAGTTATATCCCGCAAGCGGGCTCAGGGCGGGTAACACCATGTTAGAGGATAAGCATGTGGTGAAATCTCTCCCATTGGAACTGATGTGTAAAGGCTCATTGGAACCTTAGAGCCTTGATACATCTGCTGCAACCCAAGCCCTCCTAAGTTACGGGCTACCTTTTCAGATGGACACGGTGTTATCCTCAGCTCTGGCTCATAAAAGCTTTAAGATGCCTCCCGGGGTCCTTGCCGTTTTGGCGGCGGCAGATTAATACGGCAGTCCCTCGAGGACGGAAGCCAATGGGGCCTCAGAATTGAGCCAGGTAACGGCCCAGTGGGTAAAGTCGCCCTATCAGGAGCCACAAAGCATGGACAGACAGACAGTACCGACCTGGGGAAACGATGAAGTCAGAAGTAGCAATTGTATTAAGACACTGTACTTAAAATCCTTTTTAAGTACACGTTTCTCACTGACATCTACATATACCATACAAGAACTGGCTGACTGTTTGCCACCGAGGGCAGGAAGCAAAACTGGTGTGTCCCATGCCATCTTTACAGAACAGACAAGACACCTTAGCACCAAATACAACAGCACCCATAAAATGGAGGAGGTACGACAGCAACAACAACAGAGGAAATGATTAAGAAAAGGAAGACATGAGTAAAATGAGATGAAGGCCCGGTCCCGCTCCCTGTGATGTTAGATGAAAGCTCTTTCACCGGCTCTCTGGGGACTCCGCGATATGGAAAGCGAGCTTCTCCCTCAATCCCCACTTACACATTGGACTGACAAACAGGCGGCTCTGTGAAGAAAATCCTGTATCAGGGCCTCATAAGGACTGCCATGTCTTGATTCCTCCTTGCTATCCTGGGAGACCTGGAGAAGTAGACACAAATGACAAAGCCTCCTGACCCTCTTAAGAGAGAGAGATAAGAGACAAGGAGAGATCAGATCAGAAAGCCATTATAGGGGATAAGGAATATGGAAGCCAGAGGAATAACAGCAGGCAAAGTTGGGGTGCCCGATGCTTCCAAAAGTCAGTCCATGGAACAGATTGGACTATGGAGCAGCCACCAGGTTAGCACGGGAGGAAGGAACATGATTGACACACTAAGATCATTGTCCCTTATTTATTTGAAGCATTTCTATGTGACCTTTCCACCCAGTGGGAGAGCCAGTTTGGTGTAGTGGTTAAGTGCGCGGACTCTAATCCTGGGAGAACCGGGTTTGATTCCCCACTCCTCCACTTGCACCTGGCTGAATGACCTAGGGCAAGCCATAGTTCTGGTAAGAGCTGTTCTTGAAAAAAGAGCAGTTTCTGTCAGAGCTCTCTCAGCCCCACCTACCTCACAGGGTGTCTGTTGTGGGGAGGGGAAGGGAAAGGAGTTTGTAAGCCACTCTGAGACACCTTTGGGTAGTGAAGGGCAGGGTATAAATCCAATCTCTTCAAGGTAGCAGATATCGGAATGTTTAAAACATCAGAACATTTAAAACATAACAATATAAATGAGACTTAAAACAAATAAAACAAATATAAACTTACAAAGGCACACAAATGGGGAAGAGGGCTCACAAGAGTTAGTGAGGCAAAACATAACGGAGCCAAAAACTCTTTACTCACTGGCAGAAGACAATGCTAGAGGGAACAGATTTAGAGTCCAGCGGCACCTTTAAGACCAACAAAGGTTTATTCAAGGTATGAGTTTTCGTGTGCAGGCACACTTTTTCAAATACATTGGAATGGTAGGTCAGGTTCAGACTTATAGACAATGTTGTTGTTGTTCAGTCGCACAGTCGAGTCCGACTCTTCGCGACCCCATGGACCAGCTCCCGCCAGGCCTTCCGGTCTTCCGCCGTCCTCTGAAGTTGGCTCAATTTCATGTTCATTGCATCTATGACACTGTCTAACCATCTCATCCTTTGCCGTCCCCGTCTTCTTTGACCTTCAATCTTTCCCAGCATCAGGGTCTTCAATCAGGGTAGACAATGACTTAACAGCAAATGAAGGAGTAACATGATGATGTTTAAGATATGCAAGGTCAGAACTAAATAACAAGCTAAGGTTAGAAGGTCAACAGTTGTAAAGCAATAAACGTGTCGAAATAGCAGATGAATGTCTAAATGTGTCTTCTCGTTTGTGGGAAGCAAACCGAGGATCTCCATTAAGCAAATGGAGGATCTCCATTCTCTCCTCCCAGGCATGGAGATCACCTAACAGCACTTTCAGAGATGGATATAGTGTCAAGTCAGCTAGAGGGAGACAGATGAGGAAGTTATAAGTCAGGGAGGGAGTTCTACATTTTGACACCCGGATGACCATTAAGGCCCTTTCTTGGGTTACCACCTATCCAACCTCAAATTGTGGGAGCACCCGAAGCAGAGCCTCTGAAGGTGACTAGAGTGGCTGGATAGGGTCGTATGGGAGTAGATGCTCCTTAGTCCTTCAGGTACTTATTTTATTTATTTATTTATTTATCATATTTGTATCCCGCCCTCCCCAATGGGCTCAGGGCGGCTAACAAGGTCAAAGTCATTTGCCATGCCATAGGTAAAAACATATAAAACATAGTAAAACATCCGACACTAAAACCACAGTACTCAATCCATTACTAATATCCTAAATCCAAGATGGTAACACCGCAGTTCCAGATGGTCCTCCCATAGTATACATGTCCAATGGCGACGGCTTGTCAGATCTTCAATAGTTTCCAGGTTCTTCCTCGGGCCTCGTCGATGCATCCTTTAAAATCCTTTAAGGTATGTTGGCCCCAAGCAGTATAGGGTTTTAAAGATCAATGCCAGTACCTTGAATTGAGCCCAGAAGGAACCTGGAGGCCAGTGTAGATGGACACCTTACTAGCTGCCCCGTATGTCACATCTCCAATAAAAACTTTCCATTACTCCGGATCAGTGTTCCCTCTAAGCTGAGTTAGTGTGAGCTAGTGCACAGTTTTTTAGCCTCCGGCTCACACATTTTTGTCTCAGCCCAGGAAGGCTGGCTCCGGAGCGAACTAATTGATGCAGCAGCCAAATCGCCCGCTCACAACTTTAATGCCAGTAGCTCACAAAGTAGAATATTTGCTCACAAGACTCCACAGCTTAAAGGGAGCATTGCTCGGGATAGTTCCAAAGGTTCAGTTTCCTTTACAGGGAGGGACTGCAAGAGGCATCTAAGTGATGTTGCGCAAAATCATGGGTAGAACGGCAAGTGGAGGCATGTCTCTCCGGGATTAGCCATCAAGTCCGAAGGAAGAGGGGACCTTTCACACACCCCATCCTTCTGACTTGTGGGATCCATGGTAGTACACACCGTACGATCACCCCAGCATGGGGAAATCTCTATTATCAATACCTGGTACATCTTAAAGGCAGTTTGTTGACAGAAAAGTTGATAAGCAGGGCTTTTTTTCTGGAAAAAGAGGTGCCAGAACTCTCAAGAGGAAAATGAAGGAGAAACACACGGGATTCTTTGAAACAATTTTATTTTCATGCATTACAGACTTAAAGGTAAAGGTAAAGGTTCCCTTGCTCGAAAGCCAGTCAAATCCGATTCTAGGGTTGCGGTGCTCATCTCCGTTTCAAAGCCGAAGAGCCAGTGCTGTCCGAAGACGTTTCTGTGGTCATGTGGCCGGCATGACTAAACACCAAGGCGCATGGAACGCTGTTACCTTCCCACCGAAGTGGTACCTACTTATCTACTTGCAATTTCTTGCTTTCGAACTGCTAGGTTGGCAGGAGCTGGAACTAGAGATGGGAGCTCACTCCATCATGCGGCACCCGGGTCTCGAACTGCTGAACTACTGACCTTCCACAGCCTGCAGTTCAGCG